ATATATAATCTTTATAAGCTTTGAAGCTTCGATATGTTTGTCACATGGGCTGAATTTGGAAGACTGTAGTTCCAAAACCTCATGAAGCTCCTCTAAAAAATGAGCTAAAATCCTCTAAAAAAAGGAGCTCTTAAAAATTGCAATCCAACAACCTAGATTACTGCAGACTAAATCTGCTTTGAAGCCAGTGTAGAGGTCCTTGAAACCATAATCTTTTCCACTGTGGCTGACCATTGCAGCAATGGAGAGTGAAGCTAGGGCAGAAGACCTTCTCCTTCAATGCTTTTTTACTTATTAATAGAAAATAATTTGATAATCTGTATGCATTGTAATTATGTAGCATGTTGTTTTTACATTAAAACATATCATTCACCAAAAATAATATTAGTATAAAACACCATGTTTTTGAAACCAAAATTCTGATAGATTTCCTTTAGAGAACTGTTAAGCAACAATGTAATTAGAAATGTAAAAGAGCACATTAATGTGGATTAGTCCTTATTACAAAGGTAACTTGTCTATTGTCCATGTACTTATTTATTAATCATATCCTGCAAACATATTTTAAACAAATAGCCAAGCAAAAGTCCTACTGAAATGTCATTCTGTTTTTGCCAGGTGAAGTTCTGTTTGTTCCATCATTGAAAAGCAAGCTAATTAACTCATATATTATTCCATTCCACTTCAGAATGTCACAAACGTGCAAAAGCTATTCAACCGTGCTAAGGCTGGGGAAATGAAATTTTGAATTAGCCATTCTTTGGGAAAATACATTCGAATAGAGCCTGAAAGTTTGAGAACCTTCAATGCCCATTAAATTTGATCTTTACAGAGTCAAACCGCTTCTCTATGAAAGAAGGGCACATTAAGCATTTGTATTCTCACCTGTACTGAACGAAGAATGAATCATAAATCAAAGAGCGATGGCCCAAGTAGTCCACCCAGATGGATTTCTTTATTCCTGCACAGCAGCAGACTAATAATACATAAGGTAATCCCTGTAGTAATCCCTTTAGCTATGGATAAAAGGAGACCCTCAGCCCCTCGTCATCACTAGCATTGAACTTTAGCATAATATTTTTATACACATGACATAAACACACAAGTGAGTGCTTTCATGGCTCTCCTTCCTTTTGAAGCATTAACACTAGTGAGAGGCCAGTGTGTCACCTATACCACTCATTACTCACAGAACAAGTCAAAGGACATAGTGCTCTCTCTGTATTAGTCTCCTTGATAACCTCATAGGGTTTTGCTGTGAATTCACATCTCCCCATTTCTCCTTCCTTAGGTTGGCAAAAGCCAGCAAAGGGCCATGGGTGCTCTTGCAGCTGCCCCTACTGCAGATGATGAAATGGCAGCACAAGGGTTGCATTCTTTGCCTCCTGAGGCTGCAGGATTTAAAAAAATAATAATAATAAAATCAAAATGTAGGCCATTTCCACATAAAAAGATGCATTCAGAGATCTAGGTGGAACCACCTAACATCTTGGGAATCTGCCTGGTTAAGAATCCAGTTTTACTTTACAAGCATTTTAGATTGGATTGAGTGTTTCTCCTTCTGCCTGTCCCAGAAAAGCTGTCATATTTCACACCATTGGTGATTCCATTTGGAAACCTGGAAGTGTTTGAGAAAATTCCCCAGTCTGAAAAATCAACTCTTCTGCAGCCCTCAGGAGAGGCCCTCAAAATTTGAATGAGAAGAGTAATGGTACTCTTACGATGAGGACGTTAGGATAGTAATAAATGGTTTCTCAAACATCCAGGCATTGATTGGAATGAGGTTCCCAACAAGTACAGACACTAGAATCAGAAATAGCAGAAGGATGAGACAAACAACTAAACTACGTTCCTGGTGTAGTTTAGGTTAATGAATGGACTTGGGTGATCTAGGTCCTCTGACAGCAAAAGCCGACTCTCTTTATTCTTAAAGCAAGAATCTTATATCTACATGAAACAAAAAGCCATATATGAACTCAGTTTAATATTAGGTACATTTTTGAAGAGACGGTTTCTATATTGTCTGTGATATTTCAATACCTATTATGTCTTTTTTTCTCATGTTTACATGGCTCATTTATCAAGAAGAAAGTACCTACCTTCTGGAACCTGTATACTTTGCCCGTAAGCTTTGTAAGCAGACTGTGAGGTACTGCTCTCAAAGAAATCACCAGCCAAGATTGGAATCACCAGCACCAAATCTAGAATTTTTCAAACCTTTTAAACAAGATTCATTCTTTTGCATAAATGGTATACCCCCAGCTTTGTCATGAAGAATCTTCCTAAAATATAGCAGTTTTCTTTCTATACTCCCTAATAAGAGGCAGAATTGCTTACTTAAAGCTGTGTGCAGATGTTCTGACTGTGATTAAGGGAAGGGGGGGCGGCTGAAAGACAATAATAAAAAGCTGTGTTAGAATACCAGCTAATGGCAATAAGGCATCTGTTAAACATACTTGTGAACGCTTCAAGTAAAAAACATCTCAGTAGTATATGAAATAAGCAAACAGCTAGGAACCATCCAGACTTCATGCAGCTGATTTCTCCTCTATGAAAAGTTGATGTGCCTGACGCATGTTTAGTAAGACACCAACACTAACAGGTAAGACACCAACACTAACAGGTAATTTAACAAGAACAACTAGAAAAAATTTTGTCTTTGTCCTACCCAAAGACTAGCCTGTCTATTTTATATGCCATTGGCAAAAAAAAAGAAAAAAAAAAAAAAAAAGAAATAAAATAAAAAAATCTGTTGTTTACATTTCCTAAATAGATAAGTTTTCCCTGATCCAGTAATCTAATAATAGGAGAAAATGACCTTTTCTAGCTTCACTTCTGCTTTGCACCCATGCCAAAAAGAGGCTGTACAGGAACAAATTTCTAACTTGACAGCTATAAAACAGTAGGATCAACATTAAAAAAAATAATAATAAAAAAAGATATATCCTGTGTTTGGAAGCAACTTAGTTTCCTAGAAGCTGTCATCTCACTGAAAGCAAATGTGAAATAAGGTTTTTAAATGTCCAGGCCAGTTCTGAAAATGTATCTTAAGCACCAAACTCATGCACAAATATCTTCATACTATCCTGTATAAAACTGCATCTATGATCAAATAATACACTCAGTGGGAGAGGACAAGATCTTTTCTATTCTTTTTTATTTTTTTTTCCTTCATTGTTGAAACATTTCCCATTTTTTTACCCAAACTGTGCTCTATGGAGGACATTATTCTCATCATAAAATTTTGATAAAATAAACTTTTTTTTTTTTTTCCCATGCTAGAATAATGCAACTTTCGGCTTAATTTTTGAATAATAATATTTGTATTTATTTCATATTTTTAGTTATAGATATGTATTTAATATTTTGAACAATTGTTAATGAAAATACTTATGATATGAGGGAAAGTTTTTTCCTAATAAGTAGCCTGCATATACCTGTGTATAAAACTGAAGAAAAAAATCCCTCTTTGTTTACTTCAGAAGTAGAAAACACATCAAATTATTTTTCAAGCTTTTTTAAAAGCTGATGTAAACAAGCAGTATCTATTTTTCTACTTCTAATCCTAAACCAGATTGTCAATCTGGCAAGTGATGTGACTGTTCCAAAGCAGAATGGAGAAAAGCTGAAAATACTGCAGTTGCCTAAGCCAGCAGGAGAGGCAGGAGGCCGTCCATCCTGTTTGATGTATCCAAGGAAATGTCAGCCTTCTGTGTCAGTCACAAACCTAATGAAAAACCTCCAGTGGGAAGTAAGGGCAAGCATGTAAAGTTTTCCTGCATACACACACCTTTTCCCAAAAGAAATACCATATGCATTAAGTCATATTTATGCTTAGGACCCAAGCTACCCATTTTCATATTTTTAAACAGAAATTTTGTCTTAGATTTTCAGGTGTAGAAGAAATTTTCATTAGTCCCTCAAGTCCATCAAGTCCATTTAAATTATTGGAGGAGATCTTAATGTTACATGTATTTAAACAAAAAGCTCTGTGTATGAAGACAATGTATAGTTTTTCTTTCTATTTTTTTTTTTGTCATTAAGATTTTAAAATACATGTTAACACAGAAATCCTAATAAAGTTCAAACTACACCAAAGAAAATTCTCAGTTAAATACTACTACACCATCCATCTATTAGTGTGCTTCAAGTATCTTCAAAGGCAATTTTCCACTCAAATTTTCATAATGAGATAGGAAGTGAGAGTAGACAACCAGTAGAAGACTAGTTTTCAAGACAAGGCTTTAAAATTGTATGTCTAACTTTTGAGAACCATTCACTGGTTTAAAATAAAATTAGTTCAGTCCACAGTAGGTGGAAACAGCAATAATAACACCTGATATGTGCAAACTGGTTTTCACTTGATATATTTATGCCAATATTAAAAAAAAAAAAAAATGTAAACCAGAAGGCTTCAAATTTATGAGAACTAGTCCCCATAAATTTAAAATTTTATCATGTGTGAAGCTTCCTTTTAAATTAGAACAGTAAACTTCTAAGTGAAACTTGTAAATCATTTTGACCACTATGTGTTCCACATGTGTGATATATAAATACACTTGAAAGTCCACATTGAACTTTGTAGGTAGGTCTGATTTTTTTTTTACTTCAATTTTTTTCTCGTTTTAGGATATGAGAGGGTGTTCATAGGAACTCTAGTATCATACATGAATATGCATTTCATAACTTGTATATGCAGCTTTACATACTGCTGGAAGTATATAATTCTTTAGGAAATGATCCAATTACTTAAATCTAGAATCTTTACAAAATACAACTGAATTCTGATTCATATCAACTGTGAATCAGCTTCAAATTTCCAGTTTCTTACTAAAATATGGTTCTGTATAGTTTACCTGCTTAGTGTTTTTAATTTAACAAAACAATATTTATAGCATACCTCAGTGTATAAATATCTTCCTCTACTAATATAGTAGAGACAGAACTAACTGGGACCTCTACCCTTTCAGATAACTGTAGCACTAATTCAAACCAATAAGTTTGCCGTGATAATAAAATGATTTATTGTCTGCATATTTTGTAAGTTACATTCATTCTGAAAAAATAGTAAAGTTTCTTCAGATTTTTTTTATATATACGGAATAATTTCATCATCAAAACTACATACAACCAAATGTAGAATAACCAGTGACTTTAGACATCAAACAAGAAGAGGGACAGCTTTTTTCTTTATATGCTTTGGCAGTTCCAAAGTATTGCATTCAAAACATCACTAAAAACATGGGATACATTTCTGGTCCTAATATAAACTGTATATTGTGAACTATTAAAAATGTGAGTAAAAAGTAAAGATGCTCTCAAAGGTCAAATAATTTGTAATATTTTTTTCATTTTATCTGATTGACAAGCTGCTATTAAAAAACATACTTTTTTGCTCAGTAATAAAATTCAGAATTTTTTATAATGCAGTTTTAGACCCTTCACACATTCTTTTCCTCACATTTTCAAACTTGTTTATGAAGCTGTCTGCACATGTATCCATCTTATCATAAAGTCTTATCTGACTTTGTACCACACCTAAAGTAAGCCAATTAAGTAGTAATGATGGGCTCTTTTCAGCTGTGCGCTCTTTTTCAAATGAATTTATTGAAGTAAAGGATTTACAGCATATGGACTCACAGACTTTTCATGAGTTTAACTGGCATCCATATGTACAGCTTTCAGTAGAGAACTCTAGAGTAGTATTTACAATGTAAATATCAACTTTTATTACATAAGAAACAAATATATCACAACTTTCACTTCACAACATATTTGTTCTGGTTTGATGACTAAAGTCATCTCTTTGAAATACTATGTGGAACTCAAAAGTAACGTGTTCTTGTTGTAGACTTTACCAGGTGTCTTTCAGAGGTCCTGAAATGCAAAGGAAAAATATGTTTGAAAAATCATTTTGGTAAGCAATTGCATCATGAGGTATATAAAAGCAGACAGGAGACAAAAATTAACAATGGTAAAAAACAGCTACTGTGTTTAGGACTGAGAAGGTACTCTTCACAGGAGCTTGATGGTCATTACAACTGGCAGACAAGGTTGTAGCACCAAGAATAAAGTTTGAAGTTTTATTGTAAAATTGTTACTGCACATTGTCCTACAGTGCTGAACAGCTCTCTTTGAAAATTTCTGCATCCTTCAAACAGATAGAATTCAGGCTGCTTGATACACACTCTGTCAAGAACTGGGCACCATGATAAAACGACCAATAACAGACAATATTAAGTAAACTTTTTATCTATAGGGAGATCTGAATCAGCAGTACAGTCAATAAAAAAGGACCAAAAATATTTCTAAGTGAATACCATCAAACCACTGCATAATCCAGAAGCAGATATTTTTTGAATAACATTGTCCAGAAAGAATATTTTCTGAATCCCATCAAATAGAAATAATTCTGTTCCTTCAAGCATAAGCCGTTATTGTCCTTTCTAATATTTGGGACCTTTAGAGGAATAGCCAAATTTACGGAAAGTAAAAGAAAATTTTCTTTCATTCTCTGAAGTAAATAACAGTTTGGAGAAAATTGGTTTTTATTTCCTTGAAAATATTATCTTCAGAATTATAGTTTTCATCTTACTTGTAGCTCTGACACAGCTGAATGGTAAAAAATAACACCCAAAAACAACAGCAGCAAAACTATTAACAATTCCTTAATACACTTTTAAGAATAACAAGCCCGTTAAGTTTTTACATTACCCTTTCAATTTTATGTCCCTGCAAGTGCTGTGATGTAAAAGGATTTATGCATAAGTAAATCAAATAAATGTTTGTGAATGAGCTTTGAAAAATAATAACAGCTAAAAGGAAAACAATAACTGCAATATTTGCCTGCCTGATGATCCATCTACAGCACATTTCAGATGGGAGCCAAGAACTTTCTTAACACTTAGGGTTCACATTGCTGATTCTCTTAGTTCTAGAGGCAACTTTTAATGAGGTAGATGATGTTAAACAAAATGAGTAGTTTTTGTTGGTTTTTTTTTTTTTTAATTAAAAGACGTATCACTGAATATGTTCTCTGAAGAAATAATAATCTTTGTAATTAAAAATGAGTCAATTCTGATTTTATGCCACAGTGCATAAAGGTTGAAACACCCAAGTGAGTTAGGTACATTATTAACAGTGCCATTTAACCAGGAACTTTCAATAACAGCAATCATGGGATATTTTAATTATTCTTAGTAAAATGATTATTATATTCACACACAATCCCTATAGAAAGAAGTAGCATTTTATGGAACATGGATTTTTCTGCTTTTCGGATGTGCCACATTTCATGTATGACTGATCTCACTTTATGGGGAAAGTTAGCTAATAGCATAAGGAAAGAAAATCTGGACATACCAGGGGGAGGTGGCTCAGCAGCTCATCTACAGAAACATCATCATAGTTTTCTGAAAAGGAAGGTTCAAGAATTTCTGCTTCATCACGAAGTTTAGAGGGGTTTAGCTCTTCCTGGCTGTTGTGGATCAAAAACAAGTTTTATTACCTTCAGAAGAAAAAGCAAACGAGAAGCAAAGCCTTGTACTAACTTTATCTATTGTACATTTTGTTAAACTTATACAGAAATGTTATGAATAACATGAAATAGCACATTTAGATGAGGTGAAAAGACAAGATATTTAGAAGAGTTTGTCTGAGTGAATATACAAGAGAATAAGCCCTAAAAAACATACTGGCATTTATCACCTAAGGACATATGATCTTTTGGGGTCTTCTAAATTTTTTGTATTTACTTAAAGATAGATTTCCATCAAATACTGTTTCTCCCTTAAAAAAAAAAAAAAAAAAAAAAAGTTGTTCATGTGTCATAGCTCTGATTTCTTCCTTAAAAGTTTTTTCTTGTTTTTGTTTTTGTTTTACACATAAAATCAATTTAAAAATATGTCAGAAGCTTTTTAAGATTACTAGATGCTATCTCCTCTTCATTCTTTTACTCTAATCTGATTGTAGCCTCTGTTTCAGAATGGAAAAAAATGCTGTCTGTATTTGAAAGTCATGTTATAAACTATGTTAAAAAGTCATTACTGCTCATTGTCATTTGTCTTTTTTCCATATGTATATATAAGTGGCCATAAACCTTTTATGTTTAGTACTATACAGCTATGGAAAAAAATATATATATTTTCTTTATTGTAGTACCTTCTTTTTCCGGTTAAAACTGAGTTTAAGTATTTCTTCACAGCCATTTGCTTCCGAAAGCGGCTGTAGTTGTCAGTGAAAACAGCATCAGAGTGGCGTTTGACAGGACTGTCCTGGGAACTGGCAACATACAACAATCGTGAAGGAAAAATTAATAGACAATAACAGTTTAAAATAAGATACTATTCAATAAATAAAATAAACTTTACAATGTCGAGCTAAATAAAATCTAATTTTCATTTCAGCTTTCATTTACAGCTACGACTTTGGATCTTTCTGCTCTTGAAAAGTCATTGCTTTATTTGTATCATAGTAACAAGGACCGATTTCTCAATTCTCAATGACTTCCAGAGCTCCTGTCACAGGAAGTCTGCAGGATCAAGTGGCTGTGCAAGAATTTTACAGTTTTGTCCTATGTGTTCTCATAGCCCCCACCACACTTTTTTTTAAAATAAATAAATAAATAATAAAAAAGAATTTATTCAGTTCTCTTTCATTTGCTTAAATACATTTTAGTCCAATACCAACGTGAAGTAACCTCTTAAAAGGACAGGTCTCTGTTTACGTTTAACTCAGTGAGGACTGAACCTGCCTCTGAGGAAAGGGGGAGCATAACATTACATATATAGTTGCAAATGTCTGTTTTAAGGAAGTATCAGAAGACAAAACACAATTTGTGAAATCCAAACTTGAAGGTATATTTTTCATGCGTGGTTTTGGGACACCTCAGGGTGTTCTGATATAGTGATCTATGTTATAGCATAAGAGAAACTGGCCCTATAAGTTCTGGAACAAAGGCAGCATTGACATAAATAGGTCAAAATGGAGGACCTAATTTTCACTCTGCTTTTAAGCAGTAAGTAGTTACTAATAGGAACTGTCATATTGGGTCAGACCAAAGTATCTTATTATTCTGTTCCCAAGAGTACCCAATAGCTGCTGCCTAGGAATATTGAAAGAAAGAGAAGTACAGAGTGATCCTTCTCAGCACCCTGAGACCATTCGTTCATGAACTCCGTGCTTTAAAATTGTGTCCAGACCTCTTGTCTACAGATTTGCCTCATTCTTTTTTGAGTCCTTCTACAATGCAGAATTCCCAAAGTGCTCTGGCAATAGTTTCTACAGTAGCAAAAAGATCATCCCTTTTTGTTGTCAATGTAAACCAGTTGTTTCTTAATTTCATTGAATATCCCCCTGTTGTTACATAAGTGTTGAGTAATCATTCAGCTTTTGTTTACTTTTTCTAGTCATTCACCAAGACAGTAAAATCATTATTAAAAAAAAAAAAAAAAAAAGCAAATTGGCATGGTAATCATTATACTGTTACCAGTATTTATTAACAGCTATGTGCAGTCCCTATTGCTATATCCCTCACAGCTGTATCAGAAATAAATAGCAATGTATGCATTCAATTCAGTAACAAAACCCACTAATTTACAATATAGGATTTTTGACTCCCCCATTATTATATCAATTGCCCTTTCATTACCTCTAAATTGCAAAAATGAGAACTTAGGTACAGAAGGGTGAAAAATTGCCAATGAAGCATGAAGCCAGCTAGGAAAAAACTCTACCTAATGTAAGTGTCACCTCACCTAACTCGTTTTCTAATAAGCGAATGCAGATATCTCTTCACAGCAAGTTTAGCCAAAAGATGGCTGTAGACACTGGTGAAAATTCCATCAGCATGCCTTGCATTTCTGAAATGGACAATAAATAAACTCTACAATACAACCTGGGTTTATATCATTTTGATAATGTTCATTTTGTAAACATACTGCTTTCCTTAAGTTATCTCTTGTACATATTAAATTAAGCTAGTTTCATAAAACAACTTCCAGATTTTCACAATATGTATACCCTTTCTGGGAAGTGAATGAACTCATCATGCCAGAAAGGCAATGCCATCAACATTTCTTCATACATTTCTACTGCAACAAATATTCAACCAGAGGGCGCGTGTTCTTTTTTCAATAATTGGTTCTTCCTTTCCTATATCTGTTTGAAAAAGGTGACAGATTTTTTGGCATAATTCAAGCAATGTATCAACATTTGCATTTATGACAATAAAGAAACTCACCTATCAATAATTCTGGACAGATCAAAATAGAATTTCTCATTTTCAGGTAGTGTGTTCTGCAAAATGTCTGATTCAGACTTTAAAGACCCATGGGTACGGTCAGGTTCACTGGCTGCATCAAATGGCATTCTGTTTCCCAATCTGTTGGAGAAGAAAACCACATGAAGTGCAGTTGATTGAGGATATGCAGCATTTCATTGTAACTTAGCATTCTGTTTTGTGGTAAAATGCACCTACTTCTTTAATCTGTAAGGCAGTTTAAAGTAGTCTGGGTAAAACAAAAATCACTTTCAGGTTTAATCCATGCTCAGTGATAAAGTAACTAGCATAACAGATCTCCTTTCTCTGTAATGTGTGCATTTGAGAAATATGTTGTCGTTGCACACAATTAGTTCCAGTGAACAGTGCATAATGTATGGCAATTCCAGCTCAAGTGGCAAACACTCTTCATAACAGCTATATTTTATATGAACAAGGAATGAAGTTGCCTACCTCTGCCCATGCAAAGTGAAAAGAGTTCCTGTAAAGTACTTACCTTCCAATTAAGACTTAAACACTGAAGTGCATATGAAACAGTTCTTAGGCTTCCTCTATAGGAAGACAAACACACCCTCCAGAACTTCAAACCAAATATGAAGTGCAGTCACGTAATTCTAATGCTTTTTTATTCTCCTCTGTTTAAATTAATTTACTAGTTGCAAGTTAAAAACTGTTCACAAACCTTTCAAATGTATCACTGCAAGTGCTCTGTATAAACTGATTCACATTTACATTTTTTCCCATTTTTTTATACTGCTGTTTCTTATGATGTGTCATATTTTATTGAGGACAACCTGACTGACTAGCAGTTGTTTGGCATCAGATGTTTGGTCTATCTGCTGTTGTGTTCTGTGGCAGCCACAAGTCTACTATTCCTATGGTAAGCCCTTGTGTGTGATGATGCAAAAAAAGCACGTGTGAAAACTGAAAAAGATTAATTTCCTCATGAGCTTACAGTTATTATAGTTATTAATGTGACTTACATATTTGAGGCATGTAAGACCTCTCTGGTTTAAAAAATAATAATAATAATAATAAAAAGTTTTTACTGTGTAAAACAAACTAACTCAAGTCTTGGAAATAAATCACTGTACTGCATTTTCTACATTGTTTTCACACTTTATGTTCCTCCAACCCACATGTAGAGACTCTTTATAACACCTGATTTAATTTAGTTAGATAACTAATAAAAACTTCAGCAATTCAAAACGTAGTGGTACAAAACCTACATATTGATCCGTGCAGACCATGTCCCCTCATTCATGATTTGGGATTTTTTAATGTCTTTTTTTTTTTTTCCTATGGATGTCTGTGCTTTTGAAAAGAAAAAAGACAGCAGTTCAGCCATCCACTTAGCAGACCTGTGGAAATGAAGGGGCTTTCCCACAAGAAAAGCAGAGTATTTTGCTGGGCACCCACTGTTCCCCAGAGCACGTTTTAGCCTATATCCTCTACGCCTTTCACTAGTACAGCGGTCGCCGCTATTCGGCTCATGGGGCAGCATTGCCAACGGTGCCTCTGAAGATGCGTGTGTGCCTCGGGGGGCTTTTAAAGACCAGGCAAGACCGGGCTCCCTTAGCCACGTTTTACCAAAGCCTCAGCTCCGAGCACGCCCCAGGTGACCTCTCGGGGTCCCATCCCCGAGCAAGCAGAGCAGCCCCCAGCCATCCCCGGTCCTTACCGCGGCACGGCGGGGAAAGCGGCCCCCCGGGGGGGCAGCGCCCTTGCCCGCCAGCAGAGAGCGCTGAGGAGGGCGAGGGCGAGGAGGAGCGGGGAGGCGCCGCGGTGCTCCATGGCCGCCACCTGCGGAGGGAAGAGCGCAGCCGTCATCACCCCGCTCCGCACTGCGCGGGGTCCCCGAGGGGAGAGGGATGCTGCCAGCAGCGGCGTCGACGGGGCGGGGGAGATGCTAGAGGGGAAGGGAGAGGAAGAAGCCCCCAAAGCTGCGGAGGGCAGAGGTTCTCGGGACGTAGAGGTTGAAACCTTAAATATATATGGTGATATATATGGTGTGTATACACCATATATGTTTAAGGTTACCCATACATATTTAAGGCTACGCCCGGCTACCCAGGGCGGTCAGATCCGCTCTCCGCTGCTTCCCTAACGGGCCGAGAGGGCAGAAGGAGACTGAGGCCGGGGCCACCCTCCTCACCCGCTGGGAAGTTGCCGCTGCGGTGGGAGGGAAAGTTACTCACGGAGCCGCGAGTCCGTCGGTGGGGCTGGCTGAGCGGGCAAGGGGCGCTGCGCTGCGCTGCTCTGCTGGGGACGACGACCTGCGCCCTGCCCCGCTGTCGGGCTGAGAGGCTGCAGGGGACGGCGGCGGAGGACGAGGAGGAGGAGAAGAGGAGAGGAGAGCTCCGTCCCGCCGCACGATCTGAGCTGCCCGCCGCGGCGCCGCGTTTTATAGCGTTTACACGTTTCTGCTTCCGAAGAAGCAATCACGTTACTGGGGAGACGTCACCCTTCCCAAGGGGACGGTCGCTTTGTTCAGGACAGTCAGAGACTTATATTTAATTCATGAGCAGACGCGCACCCTGCCTCCCCCCTAATTTCCCCCCCCCCCCCCCCCTTCCATTATTTGATTTATATTAATGAGTTAGTTTTGCGGGGATCAGGGCCCCGTCGTCAGCGTGATTCCGCCTCGCAAGGCAGGAGAGCAGGCGGCCAGCGGCGGCTTCGGGAGCGGGGAGCTGGGGAACAGTCACCCCCGGGGCCCTTCCCTCACCGCCGAGTCCCCCCACCCCATAGCCGGAGCTTTTAGGCTCACACGGTCCTTTTCTAACACCGGCAGGTCTCCATCCCCGCCGGGATGCGTGCCCGGGGCGCGCCGTCGGATGATCTTATTTATTTATTTATTTATTCATCGATTGATTTATTTTAAGCGGGGTGTTCGCCAGCCTTTGCTTTTTCGTTGAAGCTGTGTGTGTTCCCAGGGAAAAAATCGTGTGTGTCTCCCCCCCCGCCAAGCAAGTACCGAGGGTGCTTGCGACTGTTCAGCGCGGGCACCCCAGGGGCGGGCACCCCAGGGGCTAATTCCTAGGGGCTGGGGTCACTGCCACAGCCAAGGATTTCGACACGGAGTTCTCCCTGCCTTAAAAAGATCCGTGGGCAGCAGGGAAAGAAACGCAGGGAAGGTGGGTGTGGGACCCGCGGGTTCCTGCGAACACCTCTTCGGTATCTCACCAAGCACTGCCCTGAAGTACCTGCCAAAGAATCACGGCAAGAATTGGATCGAACAACGCCATTACTCTCTTTTCCTCCTTCCCCCCCTCCCACACACACACCTATTTTTTGGGGGCTTTTCTGTGCCTCTGGTCCTCCTGCTCAAAAGTTAACGATTGTACCCAGTCCTTGCAGATGATTTCACTATTTCCCCTTCTAACAAGTTTCTTTGTTTCATGTTTCGCTAAAGGTTAGGCAGGCTCAACGGTGAAGATTCTGCGATGCTTAATCACATTTTCTAATCCAGTTACACAAAAATTAAGTGAATTAGATTAAAAATGCCTGGAAATTTGTTTCTCGGATGACAGCCGTGACTAAAACCAGAGTTCCTGCAGTAGTCTAATTTCAGGAAATTTTCCCCTTGTTACTGCATAACTAGAGGTCGAGGAAGCAATTCAGCTCTGGAATGGCGAGATGAGCATCAATAGCACCGTAATCCCCTCACCCCCGAAATATTCAGCCAAGGTGTTTCGGCGTCGTGCTGCGTGCGCGACCTGCTGGACTTCACCGAAGTGCCTGACTGATGAGAGGGGAGGCGAAATCTGTCTCCCGGGCGTTGAAGAGCAGAACAGAGAAGTGGAGCTCTGCCCCTGCAAAGGCTGCGGCTGCTCAGCCTCCCGGCTGGGGGGAGCGCTCATGGGGGCGCAGGGCACTCCCGACCCCGCTCCTTCACCCCACCACCGCCGAGGATGAGGCCGTGCTCTGCCGTGGGAAAAGCCCAAGGGCAGCCGGAGGGAAAAAATAAAAATTTAAAAAATTGCCCTTCAGCTTGTTCATTTTAGCTGATGCAGGAGGGGGGGGGGGAGGGGGGGATAGTGGCGGGCTGTGGGCCCTGGGAAGGAGGCGGGGAGCTGCGGGCTGCTCGCTCCTAATGGGTGCGGGAAAAGCAAGCCTGCTGTCAGTCGCTGTATGAGAGGCTGCATAGAAAACGTGTATAGTTTTCACTGCCAAAAAAAAATGAGGATCACTGGTACTTTTTTAGTACTTTTTTACCGTACCGTACTGTACCGTACCATACCATACCATACCATACCATACCATACCATACCATACCATACCATACCATACCATACCATACCATACCATACCCACTTTTTTACTGTATCTGGTAAATCTAGTTTGTCATATATATATATATATATATATATATATATATTTTTTTTTTTTTTTGTCAGGTAATAAAAACTCACCTGTTCACTGGAACAGGCTGCCCAGAGAAGCTGTGGATGCTCCATCCCTGAAGGTGTTCAAGGCCAGGTTGTATGGGGCTTTGAGCAACATGATTTAGTGGGTGGCGTCCCAGACCATGGCAGGGGGTTGGAACTACACGATCTTTAAGGTGTCTTCCAACCCAAGCCCTTCTATGATTCTATGAATAAACTAGATCGGAGAAGTGAGAAACATGCTGCACAGTTGGATAAAATAGTCTTCAGAACCACTCTATAGATGGCAGTATTCCCAATAAATAAATAAATAAAATAAAATAAAATAAAATAAAATAAAATAAAATAAAATAAAATAAAATAAATACAAAACACACCTCTGTAGCCTTTTTTCATGATTTAAGCTGTCTTTAGCATATTCATTCTTAGCATATCATCTACTTTTGCTATAGACAGGAAACTGAGACGCTGGGAGATCAAGTGTATTCCCCATGTTTATGGAGTAAATCTGTAGCAGAGCCTTGGAATGACCCCAAGCACTTTTCAGTTGCAATAACAATTGTCTTCCTTCAACATCCTGTTGTACTTGTCACCTCCTCCTTCTATTGAATCAAAGTAAGCTGAAGAGGAGGAGATGCTACCTCTTTCTTTTTCCTTAGCTCTTTCTCTCATTTCACAAGACAATTTTCACAGAAGGAGGTTTTGAGATGACTGAGAAGGATGTGGGGTGACAAACAAATGACAATCCAAATTCTAGTCACTTCCTTTTTTTTTTTTTTTAATGACATACTGTATTAGTTCTACATCATTCTGAGATGTTTTGATAGGAGAAAGACATTAAAAAGGAAAATAAGATCTTCATAAAGAGATGGAGGAAAGCCTACTTTCTAAAATAGTTCTAGGTGAACCGATCCTTTTACAGTGGTAAATCTTACTGTCCTCTACTGAAAGAAATTCTGTCCTTCCGGAAAGTGGCCCTTGGGCAACAATACCAAGTGGGAGCTTCTTAATTAGAATATTTATTAATAATTAGACATAGGCAACTTTCAGACAGTCAAGTCTTTTGCAGTGGCTGTTGCAGGAATCCTGATTACAGCTGCACATGGACTGAACCTTTAGTTTATATTATCAAGCATCTTTTAGTTATTCTTCCTTCAGACTTTATTTTCCACTTAACAAAACAGAGATTATGATTGTAAAATGTGCAATACTTGGGAATGATGGAAACTCCATTATACATGATTGAATAATGAGGAGTACAAGCTATCTGAAAACTCATCTTACCATTTGTATACAAACTTGTGTGTTGCATGTTGTAGATCAAGTATGATCTAAAATAGCTACCTTATTCTGGGGAAGGAGATTTGGAAGTTTTTAGTTTTGATAGTTACGTTTGATGACGATGATGATTATTATTATTTTAACATATAAAAATATGCTGAAGTTGATGGACTAAATAATTCTTAAAGCCAAATCGTTAGATAGGGAAATCTGCTTAATTCTATTGAGGACCCACTTAACATTTACCAGATTTATCATGTAATTATGTTTAAAAAAAAAAAAAAAAAAAAAAAAACAAACACACACACACAAAAAAAAGAGAGAGAGAGAGAGAGAGAGAAATTACATCACCAATATAAATGCAGTTTTACTGTTAAAAAAAAAATAAAGAAAAGAAGAAAAGACAGTTGTCTAAGGGCTTGCGTGTTATATCAGAAAAGGAAACTTCTACTGACTCATGAGCTCTGCCTCACGAATCATTGGGTCTGCAGACTCTCCCTTGTGCATTACAGCTCATGTTCCTGTAGACGAGTTCAGAAACTCTGCCTTTGATCCCATAGCCATATAACATTGATCCATGAGTTTTTAGAGCTTATAGAGCAGATTGATGGAGCACTACCATTCAGCTTTTCTGATTTCCACAGAAGAGATAACAGAAGAAACGTCAAGAAACTGTACAGGCAGAATAAATTATTAAAATCAAAACTAATACACTAATCTGCTCTTTTCTAACCCTTAAAAAATATGAGCGGCAGAACCCCCAGTTTATTCTCTCAGCATCATTACCTTGCTTGGTCCCTGTGAACATTTATATTCCTCAACACCACCTGGTTTGAAAAAATGGATGGGGTCATATGCTGAAACTCTCCCAGCTTCACTCTTTGCAGATATCTCTGAATGCTTCTCTGGATAAATAATATATATATATATATATATATTATTTCATTCTTTTAGATAAGTTTTATTTCAAAAGGTCAGTTCCCATTCAATCATACCTTTAGCATGAGTCAGTTTTACAACTCAGGAGTGTGATAGTAAATAAAATAAAACACTGACAAATATTCTGCAATTGAAAACTCATGACTTCCCTCCTGCAACAGAAACATTCATTGGAAGAGTGCTTGTGTCCTCAGTTCCCAGATCATTAGGAGATTATGCAAGTGGAACAGGGAAGCCTTCGTTTCCTCTCATGCTCATCTCGAGTCCTGCTCTCAGGTCATAAGTGCGTATCCTCAAAGGAGAGCGATTGATTAACCTTAGTAAACTACTGCAACAAGTAAACAATAGTAACAAATATGCTTATTCTGTATAATACTTGTACAAGTTTCACCTGTTCCAGATGATGCCTTTGCATTATGACTCTGTGTGGGTTAACAATTTTCAAAATCAATTTTCAAAATCTTTGGAATATTGAGCATCTTGATTAAAACCGCCTGGTTGATACCACGATGAGCAAAATGCATATTGGAGACCTGTTGAATACAATAGTATTCCCAGGGGTCTTCTTCCCTTGCCTGTCATGCCATCTAGAAAAACTATTACTTGTAGTTTTATTTCATACATCCTATTCCTCACTCCAAATTCTATCTCAGCTTCTTGTAACAGCTCAAAAAATGTTTGGGGTAGATATTATTATCTCCAGTTGTTTATGCTGTTTGGCATGTGCTTGAAGTACTGGTTCTTGTTTGGTTCATGGTAAGTAGCTATCCTAGAAGTGTCCATCCAAACTCCTTCTCATTCTTTAAAGAGGATATGATATTTTTGCCAACCCTCTCTCAATGTTGGACACATGTTCTGCACTCATTCCCCAGGAAGATCTGTGACTATACAAGCTT